CGAGCTGCCCATCACAACCAAACGGAACCAACTCTCAACTGGCCACAGAAGCTCATCCGGGTAAACAGAAGCTGCCATGAGAATTGCTTTTTTTTTTGGCAAAAGAAGACTCAGCCACAGTTAATCTTCAGTCTGACACCGTCAGGAGAAAGGACATTACTTTAGTAGCTTTTTCAGTGGCTCTGGGTCTGGCTGTTTTCTTCTACCACTCTGGGCGCTGTAGCTCAGAGCACAAATCAAATTTGGTTTCCTCCTTTGGTACTGCACAACAGAAAAGTAATGAAAATCTTCGCCCAGAGGAGGGACAGCAGGCTGTCAGTCATCTTCACAGGACTGAACTCAGGGCTCTGTCTGCTGATGTGGAAAGGGAGGAAATGCAAGCCCCTGCCTGTGGCTCCTTCTTGGATGACATATTCCAAATTTGCTGGCTTTTGTTCAACTCCTATAATTCTTTCTTTCATTTTATTATTATGATAGTAATCATTTTTAGCACCACAGTGTTTTCCAAGGAGGACCGTAAAGTGCTTTGTAAACACTAATGACTGCTTGCTTTACTTGGGGAATGATAACAACCTGCAGTTTACAGAAAGGGAGACCGAGGCACAGGGATCAAGTTAAAGTTCAAGAAATACAACCCACAGGCCCTGCCTTCCAGGTCCCAAATGTGACATCATATTTTATCTTATCCCCCAAAGCTCATGCTTGGTCTCAGCATTTAGAGACAGCTGAAACACGGCACATGTCGTTTCTGCCTGGGATATTCCTTCTTAATAGCAGATTGAAAAAAAAAAAATCAACCCTCCAAACCTTTTAGTTACTTAATGGGTTGTCTAGAAATGGCTCAAAATAAAATCAGTGTTTACATAAGATTTTGAAAAAATCTTCATTTTGCAGCTAGGAAGATACCTGTATAACACTTAACAAGAAACCAAGCTTTGAAAATGCACTTATGTAGTAAGCTTGAGAAGAAGTTCATTTAAAAATGCATTTGGTAGGAACTGCATCACTCCCTAAAGTTTCCAAATCTGCAAGATTGTCATCCATCCTGTGCCTTCTGTATCTGTAAGATGCATCTATGAGTTTGTGGGACTGGCAGGGGGGGACCTGGGAAATGTTCCCCAGTTACAGTTGGATGCTATCAGAGTTATCACTTGATATACTTTTGTGTCATGCAGGTGATTTAAGTGAGGGGTTGCCTAAAGTTTTAGAAATCCTAAGGACAATTGGGAGCCCAAAACGTGAGTCCATGCCTCCTCACCACATGTGAATACAGGCCATGCTCAGCTTGACATGCAAGTGAACATTCATCCAAGGCATGCGGATGAACACCCATGCCCACATACAGTCAATTCCCAGACACAAACACCCACCCATAAGCAGATCAGACTTGCACACTAGGAGAGCCACACGGGCTCGGAAAATGGATTCAGATATACTCAGACACAAAACAACCCACGTGTCTCCACCAACAGCCATTCAGAGCACAAACTCATTGCTTGCACACACATTTGCCTTTCTCTCACGCACAGCTTCATGTCTATGTGCTCGCCCATTGGTTTGTAGCCCAGACATGGGTATCCAAAGACATTCAGGAAAATATACTATACTCAGTGGAGCACACACCTGAAGACCCACACATGCACACTCACATGTATCTTAGTGAAGGTTTTGGGTTGGGAAATTCCTTTTCAAAAAACCCCAAAATTGTCAAAAGTGGGGAAAAAAACCCAGCATGGGGAACAGCACAAGTAGATGCAAGTGTACACACATACCACAGTGCCTGTCAGTCAGAGCTCCCAAGTAACCACAGCTACAGCACCTAAAACCTCCTGGATATGGTTCCTCAGAGTGCAAATGTCTGGCAAACCTCACAGGATTACACGGCAAATGTCTGGCGAATCCTTCAGGATTACATGGCCTCATGTCAAACTAACCTATGCCAGGTGTCTCCGTATTCGCTAACTGACCACAGCAAAAGCTGTCCTTAGATCCAAGAGCAGCAACTTCCAAGATCCTACCACAAACCTTCTTCAGTTTCTAATGAGTTGGGCAGAAACATCTTACCTGCACCTGACCAGGCTAAACATCTCCAATTAGTGGAGCTCGTTGATGTTTTGGGGTTTATTTTTTCTTTCTTTTTCAGACTCCAGGTCTATTGGAACAAGACAAGACAGTGTACAGAGACACAAGGCAGGGTTTGCTCAAACCCACAAACAGCAAGAAAGCAACAAGCTCCTGAGGAGAAGGGGAGAAGGCCATCTGATAAACTGCCTCACACTGCTTGGGAAGATGACAACTGTCCATCCAAGATGGGCTGATACTTTCCACGCCCATCTGTTAAATATATAACATACCAAGTGCTGCCAGCAGGTAAGGGAAACCGACAGGACAAACCAACATACAATACATTCTCTTATTCAATAAGGGTTATAAGTGCAAAGGGATTTAAAAACATTTCAGAACAAACTCCATCCATAGCTGCTGCTCATTTATCAGTGCATCAAAAGATGGTGCAAGGTTTTAGTAACAAACGTTAGAAACTAGTAGCAAAGGACTTGCCTAGATAAAAAGAGAAGATTTAAACATGCCAGGTGAAAAAAAAAGTGCAGAAATCTGTAAAACTGTATAGAAGGAAAGGATTCTTTAGAGGAAACACAGGAACCATCCTGAAATGCTGTCCACAACCCTTCCTGAACAAGTAAGGGCTACTACTACTGCCTCCTCATCTATGACAGGCAACAATTTTCTAGTAGTCAGAGGCACACCCTCATTTTTCATACACTTTGTAACCAAAAACTGGCCGTTCAGCCTCAGCTAACAGGGAAATGAACTTGAATTTTGATAGAGAAGGGAAAAGAGAGGGAGCCTCATCAGTGGTTATTAAACACACCAATATGGATAGCCCTGGAGACTGAAGATCTGTGCATAGGACTGCATAGCACAGTTAGCAGCAGCAGGACCTGCTCTACCACATGCTGAGAATGGTTGCCAGTTACCTTGCTTAAATCTAGTGTCTGAGAGCTGGGTGTCTGCAGAAATCTAACAACTTGGACACCCTACACTCATTCACTGGGTGGACATCTTCAAAAAGCAATTCATCCCACCTGTCATAGACAGTTAAATAGGAAGGAATCAGTTGGCCTGTGGAAATTCATGTTTCTACCAACAGTAAAAAGAAGCCTGGATGGGTATCTTTTTTTCACTCAGAGGCTGGAATTTTGAGATATATCTATCAAAGTGTATCAAAACTTGATACAAGAAGTTCTTTAATTTATAGGAAATTACTCCAAATTTCTTCAAAAGGATCCATTATGTTTTCTTGCCATACAAGGTTTCTTGCTGTGCTAGGCCTCCATTTCTTTGACAGAACAAAAGGATTTTTCCTCCTTTTTACTTGGAAGACTTTTTGAGGTAGAACTTCTTGATGCTAGGCATAATTCATCTCCCACTAACTACAGTTATTTCGTCACGTACAATACTGTCTCTTTTGGTGAGATTTGAACATCTGCACACTCTCCAGGCTAACATCAGGTTTCCATTTTAGGTTACTTCTGACAAGGATGAAATATAAAAGGCTCTCACTTTGTTCTTTGAAATTAATTACTTGAGATTGCTGAGAATCTGAACTTCCCTCTACTTTCTCAGACTCATCTTAATATCCTTCTAGTAAAGGTGCAACCAAAAGCACCTACAACATCCTGAACAAAATTAGGGACTATTTTCCATCTTTCAAAGGCAAGGAAAATAGAAGAGAATAAAATACTTATTCAAAATCACAATATTTCTTTTTGGAGAGAATTCCTTTAGAATTTAGAAAAATGAAAAAAAAGTTTTTAACAGAAAATAAAGTTGACCAGAATACCAAAACATTTTGGTTCAAAATAAAGCACTCTGATCTTATCAGAATGTTGTCTGCAATTTCTCCCAAGAAAAACACTGTGTGAAAACTACATAATTTTTGTCACTTGTCACTTTTTCTGCTTGCATTGTATTACCTCTATGGTAAACAACAATTCCAAGCTGGAATGTTTGTTCACTAGCCATATCATTTTGCAAATTCATGATGGATTTGCTCTACGTTAAACATCCTCACAGCATTTTTTCAGTCTTTCTACTTCCCTGGCTCCACTAAGCTGGATTAGTCGTGTTATTTTTGTCCGTGCTCCTAAATCCGACAGGTCCTTTGCCCCTATTCGCAAAAAAGACAGAGGAAAAAAATTGCCTGATGTGATTTATTCTTTGAGCACTAGCTGCTCATTTCAGTCTCCACGGCTCATTCAGTCCTTCATCTGTCCACTAAGATGGGCATCACCAGGGTGAATCAGTGTTAATTGTGTTGGTGGATTTTGTGAGATGGAGCAAACTGAACAGTTTAATCATGGATATCTGTCTCTCCTTGTGCTTTTTTTCTTATAATGTATCTATATATATTTTTTTTCAAGCTAGAAACTAAATATTAGGAGCAGGTTCCTCTAAACAGAGTCGATTTGGTCCTTATTTAGTTTGGAGGAAGCCTGGGTGGGGTAGGAAGGCAGCACCAGAAGGATTCTAGGTTTGGTTCCCACAGTTCCACCTCGAAAGAACTGACCTTTAGATCTCTGTGGGGTGGAGGGTATTGAACTGCCATGGGAAGCAAAGCATAATGCTGGGTAGACCAAAGTGCTGGCCTGGGACTCTTCTAGCAACTTCCCATGGCACAAATCTCTTTTTCACTTACACTCCACATTTCCCATCACTTTTCCTGCTATACAGTTTAGTTCATGCCAGGCGGTTTATGAAGGAAAGAAAATGATGCAACAGTCAAAAAGTCCTTTAAGTCGTTCCAAAAATTAAAATAGAAGGAAAAAAAAAAAAGAAAGAGAGAGTGCTTCGAAACTAAACAAAATGCTTTTAAAACAAACCCAAGAGAAAGGAGGAAGAGGGAGGAAAAATAAAAGAACCCGGGAAAGACAAATGAATGTTAGAGCAGGCACGATCATGGACAGACGCCAGCTACTTACGTTCACCTCGGTGATTGCTATATCAACAATGCTACCCACAACAATCAAGGCGTCAAATGTATTCCATGCATCACAGAAATAGTGCTGCATGTGGCAGAGAAGCCAAGGAAAGAGAGAGAGAAAGGAAGAGAAAGAAAGAAGAGAGAGAAAGAGAGGTAGAGAAAGAGGGAAAAAAGGTAAAAAGTAAAATAAAATAAAATAAAAAACAAAACAAAACCAAAAAAAAGCATGAAAGAGGGAGAGAAGAGGAAAAAAATAAGAAAAGAAAGAGGTTATGTGGGCATATTAAATAGTCTCTTACCACTCTACAGTACTGGTTGCTCAAACCTCTGTAACGTTTCACATGATGGAGGGTATCAACAAAAGCCTGGTTAGTCAGAAAGTTACACTCAAGCATGTCTACCTTTTGGAGGGAAAAAAAAGCACACACACCCCAAACTCTGTGCGCTTTCACCAGTCACAGCCTTGGGGCGAGCTATGACAAGTGAAAAAGAAGGAGGTGTTTCCCCCCCTCCTTTTTTTTTTCCCTGGGAGAAGGAGAAGGACGACGGCAAGTTCAATAAAAGCATGACTAGAGGAAAAAAAACGATACAAAATAAAAAAGAGAAAGAAGGAGAGAAAGAGAGAAGGAACAGCAGAGGAGGAGGAGGTGGTGGTGGTATCCTGGGGAGGGTAGAGTAATACTCACATTAGTTTCACTGAGAATGACGTCTATAATGCTGCCAATTACGATGAGGAAGTCAAAAACATTCCAAGGATCACTAAAGTAACCCTACATAAGGAAGGGGCAGGCAGGATGGGGATTAAAAAGGAATGTTAGACAGACAAAAACAGTTCAAAATTACCATTAGAATTTCTGCCCTGATACCTCAAATGGTATTCCTCTTACATCTATTTGTTGCATCTCAAGCTGCTTGGCCAGTGCCCTGGCTGGTGCGAGCGGCCCCTTTCCAGCTCATGTGAGCCCAGGCCTGGGATTGCTTCCCTCTGCCTCTGAGAACAGGCTGCAGGGAAGCTACATGGGTGTCCTCCAGCACGGCTGCTCACAGGAGAAGGGACCGCAGGATCAGCTCCTCTGGACATCTCCAGTTCCTACCAGCACGCTGCCTTACCCCACTTCACGTGGTTTTGGGGAAGAGTACAGGAAAGCATCATACCACCTCAAAAACATCGCTCCCCTTCTCCCAGTGAGCATAAAGCCACCAGTCAGTATGCAGCATGTGAGGTTGGGTGCTCACACTAACAAGGACCACATGCCCCATCACAACAGATGAGAGGGCACCCCTGAGCCAAGGGATGTGCTGGTTAAAGCTCACAGGTTGTCATGTTTCTTTTTTACCCAGCCACAATGCACATCGCGATAGCCCTTAGTCTAAAAGTTTCTATTGCTAATGTCCTAGCCCCTTTCTTAAACTACACAGTATTTTTGTTATTCTGAAAGCACTTCTGCACTGCAAAATGACAGTGTGAATGTAGCATGTGCCAGTGTATCCTACAGGAAGGGGTAAAGAGGGACCCAAAGCTGCCCTTAGGATGTACTCAGAACAAGCCATATTGCTAACTCATGCTAAAGACTGTGCCACAGCACTGCTGAGACATAAGCTGCCTCGAGCATGCTGTGGTAGAGCTTCCAGCATATGCTAAACTCCCACCTTCATTTTGCTGTGCAGAAGTAGCTTGCATGATGCATCTCCTTGTCCTAGGTAGTGCTCAGGAGCAGCTTTTCTGCACTGCTTGCCTTCCCCATCCTGCATAACTTTATGTTGGATGTACCATGAGGATACAAAATCCTGTTTTTTTAAAAAAAAAGGTCCTGCTCAGCCTGAAAGAAAAGCTTCTCTTAGTCTGCTTCCTGTTCAAGTTAGTATCATAAGCAAAGAAATTTTATCTTGGCCCACAAAATACCTTTAAACACCTCTTCCCTGGTTCTGTGGTTCTAAAACGAGCAAACAGACAAAACTTTCTGTGCTCCTTTCACGTGTTCTGGGCTTGTGAGCACAGGCTAATCTGACCTCCCTGTTTCCCAGCTGTGGCATGTCTCCAGTGAGACTGAACCCAACTTGCACTGTGACTGCTATTCTTAGCCCCAGAGTCAGGTCATGGGTAAACTGTGTGCCTGTGTTCCCAGGCACTGCTGCAGAGAGCAGAAAGGAGGGCTGGGAATGGGGGTGAATCCCAGTACTGGCACTGCAAGAGCCGGGCTTGGGAACCTGAATTACTGTGGGCTTGGGCAATGCCTACAGCAGACACTGGCGAAAAGCTTCTTTCTACACTTTGAGACATTTCCTACCAGACGCTTTTGAGACTGATGGTTGCAAGTTATATTATATACGAGCAGGAAAAAAAAGGGGAGTGGGCAGAGAAAGATATTGCCCACCTGGTTTTACATCCCCCATGAAGGGGGCTGGTATGGAGGACCTAGAAAAGCCTTATATTTTGCCTGAAATAAGTAACTTAACAAATCTGCACTGCGAGGAGCAATCATCCCATGACTACTCATCACTACACAATTAACTACAACAGGGAGGAAGGAAACAGAAGCAAAAGCAAATTCAGAGAATATTATTATTCAGCGTCCAGCCTAGAAAATACATAATAAATATTAGAATGAATTCAGCGGTGATGTCCAGCATCGTTAGCAACCAGATGGACCTGGAATAAAACTGCAATTAGAGGAAGGGGAGGGAGAGAATGGCAGATTAAACTGTAGAGGCACAGGCATTTTAATAAATAAAGGACAGACACAGATCATACAGAGTTGCAAAAAGTGCCATTGCAGCCTGATACGACCTTGGCAGAGAAGACACTTGCAAAATCAGAGAGAATGGTGTAGAAGACAACAGGCCCAATCCTCCTGCCCCTGTTCGTGTGGTCCTGCCGAAGGCAATGGCACTGCTCACGTGGCACAGCCAAGAGAGCACATGTATGGAGTAGCACAGCTATCTTCTATTTCCTTTTCCAATTGTACAGTTTGGGAACGACTAAGGATTTCAGCATGAACACAAACAATTCCAGGAAAAACAGAGTTTGCTTTTGGGCAGCTGCAAGGGTGAAGATTAGAAACAAGTTGTGCAGAGCTTCACCCACAAAAATTAAGACTCTCCTTTTAAATCTGTGGTGACAGATACATGGTGATTTTTACTAGCTGCATGATACCAATCATATAGCAAAGAATATTTTGGGGGTAACCAAATTAACAATTTCTTTTTACTGAGCAACTCTGGACACAGAGCCCTACAGCCATGACTGCTATTACAACAGCGTTTGATTTTGGTACAAAACCAGGGTGACAAGTGATATCAAATTCTGTCCTCAGATGACCACTGACTCCACCGAGTTAAGCTCTGCTTCCAGCTGCAGTAATGTAACTTCACTGAAAGCAGTGGCATTATGCTGACATAAGTGGCACATCTAACGTGAGATTCTGACCTGGAAAAAAAAGGTCCTCTTCTCATTGCCATTGCAGGAACATGATTTGGACCTTTGTGAGGTCATATCTGGATCAAACATATCTGGATCATATCTAGATCAAACATATCTGGAGTCACTCTGTCATTCCACTTCTGTGGAACTGCTCCAGATGTACCCTTTGAGTTCATTCCCCAGGGATGCTCTGCTGACTCTCATCAGCCAGGTTCTTGCTTTGAAAGTCATGGGCTGGTCCATTAGGCAGTCACAGAAGGAACACCATCACAGCATGTTACTGCTTGGCTGTCAGGTGGGCTCAGAGAACCCTTCTCTTCCTCTCTGCCTCTCATATGAGTGATAGAGAGGAAGCAGGGACGTGAATGCAGGTTTTTTCAACCCCATATCCAATACATTAGTGTTGAATTAAGAAAATGCATAATTTTTAAAACCTTCCTTTTCCTCCTCCCCTGCTCCTTCTGTATTTCACACAGAAGGGTAAAAATGAAGAAGATATTATTCACAGTAATAGAGCTCAAAGAAAACATAGATGCCTCGTTTGCGTGCAAGTAAAAGGAATCTTTCCTAAAAAAGCCACCCTCCTTAGAGACATTTACCTACGAATGACCATGTGATTACTTAGCTTTGGATCAGACCTCATAATTTCGTCAAGAGTTATGAGTACATACACAGAGTGAACTAGACCCCTGGGGATTTGCATCTTGTGACCTCAAAGTACCTCTTAAAGCCACATTCCTCACTGGAGTGTACCAGGGTGGCTAATGAAAGACAAGCTGAATGAAGGAAGAGGTTTCACTCTAATAAAGAGATTGTATTTCCAAACTATTTTTCCCACCAGAAAGTTCTGTATGCTTTTCCCAAGGGGGTGGAGGTCTGACTGGAAGTGAATTGATGGCACTGTTTGTTTTTGCAGTACAGGAATTTAGAGTGTAATACCATATTTTACCCTTAAAGGGAGATGCTTGACACTGACTTAGCTGTATTATTACATATCATGCTATGGTAGTCCCAAGGCTTATGGGGGAACGGCAGTTGCCCTCTCGAATGAGAGCTCTGTGGAGACTCAAGAAGCTTTTGGGGAGAAAGGAGGACAGAAAGAGACCAGGAGGATTGGACTAAATATTCAAGAAACATGAAAATACCTTACCATTAGAGCACATTTTTCCCCCGTTTTTTGTTTCCTTAAAGGTATCCAAGGATAGTGAGTCACCACATGATCAATAAGTTAATGAAAGGCTGAGCATAAATATGCAGTAGCTGACTGGAATGGAATCTCATTTGTGCGAGGGGAGCAGACATTGTATCATTTCAGAATGAACATGCCAATCATCTTTAGGTTTCCTAGTTGCTGAGGTTAGCTATCACAGATAATTGTTTTGATACTAACGGAGCCTCTGGAGACCATGTCTTTTACCTCCTGTGAATATGAGATCCTAAATGCGGTATCCAAGAAACCGTCTTAGCAGCAGGAAAAATTGTCCACTGGAGCCTGTCTGAACTCAGAGTCACTTGGGCCCATCATAAGAATGGTAAGAATCCATCATAAGCTGTTGGAGAGCTGTACGGCTGTGCTGAAGGCAAAAACCCCAAGGAGGAGGCTGTTTGGATCGTGGTACCACCTGGGCTACGAGAATCCAGCCCTGTGGGAGTTGCAGGGTCACCTCTATGTTAATTGATGTGCAGTTATTTGTCTGCTTAGTCACGAGTTTTCATTGCCATCTCTTACTAGGACGTTGGCAGGAATTAACAAATCCCTTTGAGTGAAAAGCCTCTAAAGATGAAGGGCAGAGTGAGGGTCAAGGCTATTCAGTGAGTGAGATTGGAATGTAGGGCAGATGGTCCCTGGTGGCAGAAGCTCCTATAAGTGTCGCAGGAAAAAAAAGGGAAAGATACACAGGTATGTGTGTAAGGACACCCAAATGAAGAGACTGTGGTGGAGAAGAAACTGAGACATACAGATACCTACAGAGACTGAGAAGAAAACAAACTGATAGAAGAACCTTGCCTCCATTTATCTGAAATAAACCTGTATGTGCAAACAATACGGAAAATATTAATCTGAACCAGTTGGAAATAGTAGATAGGAAGGCAAGAAAGGGTCTGGTTTAACTGATATTCCAAATGATTTCTTGCAAAAAATCTCATTCATTGTAAAGCACACCAAAGCAGACCTTACTCTTGATTTGCTAAATGAGATAGGTATTTGCTCATAATATGAATATGTTTCTGAAAGCGCTGCAGGCCATGTGGAATTATGAGAGAGAGTTCTCAGGTATCATTAAAAAAACATTCCTAGAAAGTATTTCTGTAATGAACAGTCTCTTTAGAAAACAGAATTGAATGAAA